TTAAAAACACAGTGATATAGAAGAGTGTCAAAAACTAATCTGTTTTTTTTTTTTTTAATTATTATTTAGAATATCAAAAAGAATGGTTGCATATATCATGTTTCTGGCTATTTCTGAACAGTTTAGAAACATTTTTTTATCAGTAGAAAAGAGGTGACGAGAAATAGCAAATTTTGAATAAGATGTGCAATATTATAGAAATGCATGCAAGCCTGTTAGTGACTGAAGTTATTATGCTACTACGTTATTTCCTTTTAAGTGATTGACATTTTGCCTACTACTTTCAAGACATCATGGATCAAATGACAGATTAGACTTGCTGGATGGTAAGCACAAAAGAAATGGACATTTAAACATGAATATTCTTGGAGCTTTTATAGATATCCTAAGTATTATAGACTATGCATGGTTGAGAATAAAGTTCGATACAGAGAATCAACAAAACAATTAATCACTGAAGTATATATAATACTTCAATAAAAAATAATAATAATACTTAAAAGGCAAACTAACAACCATTTTTATTTTTACTCCCAAAAATCAAATTGGCCAAAATTCAGAGCTCAAATCTCCAGACAGACATTGAGTATTCAAGTTAGAGGACAGGCTGATTACTTACAAAACTACTGAAGTTTTGCAGGAATACAAATGCATGCCATTAAGGTGGTTCATAAGGGTAAGGTCTGCCCATGTTCCCAAAAATCCTGTGGTTACTGCTGCCCATATGAGTCCTAGTTTTAGGTCCATAATACCACATTTATACAGTAGTGATGCACCATTACTTCTGTCAGAAGAGCTGCGCATCAAAGGCACCGTAGAACATTTGATTCAGAGTTTATTCCATTAGGAAACAGAATTTGGCATGAGAAAAATGGAAATGCAATGGAAACACCTTTTGGGAAAAACTTGAAGTCACTTTACAGCAAAGATGTATTTGCTAGCTTTTGAAAGAAAAATTGCATTGGCAGCATATCAAAATGTTTACATCTGTGAAGAAGCTTTTAGCACAAAATTCTGTTCTCACTTGAACAAACTAAAGAAACCATAAGAATAGTAGGAAGTGAATGCTGACAACAGGTATTGCTGTAAGCATATTGTTTGGAGTGCAGGAGACAATCCATCTACTGGCATTAGGTTTTAGGTTACACTTTGTGAAGATTACTCACCTTAAAAAAAAGCAATGCCAACAAATGCTAATTCCATTTCTAGAGGCCTCATTTCAATTTTCTGATGCGATGACCATACAAAATACTTAACAGTCATCTGAATTCCCATCAGTTTTTTTGTTATTCATTGTGCTCCTACAGCTTTTCAGAAGGGTTAATTACATTCAGCTATGGATTCAACGACACACTGCTAGAGTATATCAATTCTGTCTAAACATCAGATATTTCAATGTGAAGTTTTAGGTTCTTGCTGGTTTGAATTTTGTCAGAAGCACTACACAAAGCACTTACTCTCATTTTTCACACTTTTGCTTCTACATACTGGCCCAGCCCAAAGACAAGTGAAAAGTAAATGATCACTGTCTGAGCACGCAGTCAAGGCATTGATATGGCATAGACTCACAGGTTTAGTCACCTGCATTAACACAGTATTACATGACTTCTCCTGTTGTATTAACTGCTTACATTTTTACCACAATTTCATTATTTATCTCCTGATGGGCCTGAATTTTATGCATCTGGCAAGATAAACGAGAATCGTTCCCTGCAAACCAGTTTGAGACAGTAAGTAGGATCAATTGATTCCATATTAGTAGCTGCCTATTTAGACATGGCACAAAACCTAAGAAAAACTACTCTGTAATAGACATTTGAGCTGGAAAAAGAACAGGAAGAACAGATCAGGAGCTATGAGAAATAAACACAGCTGAGAGATGATGTACAGACATTTGATGAGATGTATGATGACAGTTAAACTTACATTTTTACATTACTTACATTGGAAAGGCACTACAGCCTCTACGGTTCTTTTAGGACATCCTGTCTACACAGAAGAGATTGTAAATATGCAAGTTTAACAGTGGAAACAAAGAAAGTATGCCAGTATATCAATTAAAGGAACAGATTCTACTACAATCATGGGGTAATTTCTATAAAATAACTTAATTTTAGATAAATGTTTGGTGTTTTTTTTTTTTAATTTTTTTAAATTTTTGTTTCTGATGAAGATACACCATTTTGTCATGCCAGTAAACGTATTTGTTAATGACAAAGTAGTTACCGGAATATTTGTAGCATAATTGGGCAGCACAGTTAATTACTGAAGTATCTTGTGAATTTGCCTTGGGGCAATCTGGAAAGATTTAACAGAATTATCCCATAGGCAACAAACTAAATGAATTAATTGTTGTGGTTATGGCCCAAATAGCAGAATAAAATTCCAAAATATATTTCTCTTAAATATTCTTCTGTATGAAGGATGGAAACAGAGCATTAGTCTTCTTCCCACAGAAGAAGCCAGATTGCATAGTTTGCATACTAATGCCATCAGATAAATAATGTCATTATTTCATGAAGTACAGAAGTAATTGCCAAATGCCACAAAACAACAACAATAACAACAGAAACACAAAGTAAGAATCCAAAAGGGTAATACCATTTCAGAAAAGCTCTTCAGGGGTGTTTTTGTTTACCTCTGCTCTGGAGAGAATTTTGTAGGAAGGCAAAACTTGAAAAACAATTTAAATAAATTTAAAAAATCATTAATGCTGGCAAATAAAAGATGATATTTCTGTATTAGATTTCCTGACATAATGGAATTAATCTGTAAGATCCAGAAGAAGATAGCATTTCTTCAGCAGCCATCATGGTACTCTCTACTGCCTTGAAGAATTCCACCGGGAGGCCAAGAAAAGGGGAGGAAGGCAAAGCTGTGATGTCAGAGGAAGATGTGAAGAAATTTGCCCACCAGCATGAGGAAATGTTTTTCAGTTCCAAACCTAAGCAGCTTGTGCACTGATCTAATCCTCAGAAAGAAAATTCTTCAGAAATCAGAACAGGTTTTGTTATAGGCATTTCCTTACAAAGCAAACTGGCTTTTGGACAGCCCATACATGCATTAGTATGAATAAGGAGAATTTTGACTTGTCACTTCAGTTTTCTTTTTTTTTTTTAAAGGCACAATGGACTTTTTCAATACAAATAATTGCTCATGCTTATCTGGCAGATATATGCAATACAAAGATATGACCAAGTTCAGTCTTTAAGTGGCATAACTAAATAATTTATTAGAGATTTATTATATTTAAATGACAAGAAACCTCACTTCAACCAAATTACACTCTGATTTGGATTTAACAGGAATACCTGATTCTTGTGGGAGACCATGTTCTAGCATCAGCCATGAACTGAATCACTTGCTGAGTGATCTTGATAGAAAAGGGTGGTATGAGTAGAGGAAATTTTATTAATGGATAATGAAAGATTAAATCAGAAAAGTCTCTTGAAGTGGACTTTTACTTTTGAGAGATTTCAGGTGGTAGTTATAAAATTATTTACGTATTTAACCTATTAAAATGCATTAAAATGTATCAGTGCAAAACTGAGTAGTGCTGTGGCAATAAAACTGGACTTATTTTTTTAGAATGCTGTACAGAAAGGTTCCTCACTCCTACTCAGGTCAGGTGCACTGTGACGAGAAGTAAGAGTCAGTCTTAAATATGTAGCAGATTGGAAGGACAAAGCTAATTAGTTATGGGAGCTAAGTATTTAAACATGATGAGAAATGCTAAGACCTTTGTTGATTTTATGCAAAGCAAGCCACCTAACATTCACGATGCTTAATTCAATTTATGTTACACTACTGATGATTATGAAATGGATTTTGAAGAGAATTTTTAATCTTCTTGAGTAAATGCAGAAAACATTGAGACATTTCCCACGTGAAGTACAGGTATAAGTAGAGATATACTTAGTGAATGCTGCAAGAGAAAACATCTAATGAAAGGAAAAAAAAATCTGTATATATTTAAACATTTTTAAGAATTTAGGTTTTTACAGTAGCATTTAAAAAGGATGCCATCATTCTTCTTCGTTGGAACGGCTAGAATAATAAAAATGAAAGCAACAGTTTCTTTTTATTTGACATTGAATACATTACTCTTACACCTGTGCACATATGCTGCATAAATACATCTTATTATAACAAGGATTTCCTCCACTGTCCTTGCAAATAAGAGAAATAATAGAGTGAACTTAACTAAAATTCCCAACTGGGTAACATTTATTTTAAAACAAAACAAAAATCCAAAATGGAAAAACTCTTCTGAATATTCACTGAAGTACAAATACATAAAGCACTGTTTGTAACATTCTTGTGATCATTCCCAGCTCTTTCTCGTATGACCTTTAAGTATGCGTGTCAAAAAAAAAGGATCAGTCTAATGCTGCTGTTTAACAATATTAAATGGGTATTTTTTCAATTGTGCATGAAATTCCACTTCTGTAGTACTACAGAATGATATCATGCCCTTTCAGAAGAGCTCTAAAGCACAATGATACAAAGTGCCTTTCTGGGCTTTGATGACTTAGCAAATTCCTCTTTCTAGTAAAAATGCTCAACTGAAATACTCTGGAACCCTTATGCAGACAATGAACAGGCTTAAAATGTGTTTCTTTTGTGGGATTTAATAGATATTTCCATTTATTCTCCCATCTACATCCCTGTAAGACCATTTGATGATATTTATCAACAGTTTCAGATTTTCATTTTAGAGTTTATCTCTGGAATTTCAACTTACTAGAAATACAGTTGATTCTTTAAAATCTTATTTAAAACAATGAGCTGTTTGCTGGATCTTAATTTTGCATACATTATACTTTCTTTTTATCCACACTAAAGATACCAGGAATGGTGTAAAAGATGTAATTAAGGTACCACTCAATATAATACCTACACTGATACTGCCCAAGGAACAAACTGGTAAATAAACTTGAAGTCAGTCAAATAATTCAAAACAGTTATTCAGGTATATAAAGCATATATTTTATATTTACCTTCATTTTTCTTGATAGTAAAATTTGGATTGTTGACCATTTCAGGAAGAAGACTATACAAGAAATAATGCCCATTTTTAGGATCATCTTTGTCAACAGCACTGATAATCTGAATTACCTATAACAGAAAATAGTTTCGTAAATTCACACTCAATAAACATACAGTATTGCAAAGAACACTTCATTCTGTAGGACATATCCTTGCTTCTTTACACGACAGGCTAAAACTGCAAATGTATAAGCCTGCTAGGTTGTTAAAGGTGTTGGATTAAACATTTGGAAAACGGAGAGCAGATCTAGCCCATTACATTGTTTTTGGAAAAAGGAGGTTGAGAATAAGGAGAGATGGGTACATAAAAGGGGGCAGCTAAGACTGCTGAAGTTTAGGCAAGTAATAAATTATTATTCATTAATAAAGAAGAGACAGAGTGTTTCAGAAACATTGTATTTGGAATTTAGAAGAAAATAGGATTTTTTTTCCTTAATTTTAATGAAACCTCAACTATTACTATACTAGGAATGCAGGTGGATTTTTATTTTTTTTAAAATACTATTGTCAGCATGTGATTCCCAGAATAATGCAGGATACTAAAGTTAGAATAGGAACAAGTTTGGATAGGCTGGATACCTTTGAATAACTCTGTATGAAGTACCTTGTACGATTTATATGATCAACCACAGCATCTGCAGTGTATGTACCTCAACTATCTGCAGCATCACTGACATTGTTCACCTCCAGCACTACTCAGAATGATACTGCAGTTGATCATCTTCAAATCATACAAGGCTGTATGGAAAAAGAAGGGATGAAAAAACATTTTAAAATAATCACTAAAGTGTTTTGATATATATATTTTAATATAATAATGCAGTTGCTTTTCATTCCATGTGATTTTCTATTGGAGTAGAAACAAAGAAAACTATGAATCTATATCCAGCGTTCAGACATGAATTTCAGTGGTGGTTAGTTCATGCTAGAAGGGGTTTATTAGACATTTAATGAGAATTATTGAATTTTGACATGTTTGTTGAGTTTAACAACATTTCTTTCTTGTGTCTTTATTTCTGTAACGACTGAAGCCGTTTATCAATAATTTCTTGGACAGTTAATTTCAAATCACAAAACAGTACAAATTTCATTTTTAAAGATTAGAACAAAAAATGTAAACAAATTAACACACTTCAGATCTTCAAAGCTTCAATAAAACATGCTAGAAGTATGACTATTCAACATGTATGTTACATATAAGATAGCACTCAGTATCACACTTTGTCTTCTATGTTCTTCAAGTCTCAAAGAAAGCACAAAATCTTACTAGACAAACACAAGGACCAGCATCAAAACATAAATATTTAATATTATGTATGTAAAAATATTTGAGCAGGTTCTGATATAAGGATTCATAATGTGTAGGATGTTCTAGGAAAAAATCCAAGCAGTGAATTCCTTCCTTGCCAAATATTACATTCTGGACAGGGCAGACTTATGATCAAAAAAGTATTGGAAAAAAATGTTGATGGTTTAAATACCCTTTTTTTTGGGGGGGTGGGGGGGAGGGTTAAATCTATCTGCCAAGTTTAAACCTTTGATTGTCATGATTTCAAATGCATGTATTAGAAGATACTGGGGAAAAAAAAAAATCAAGCTTTTGGTTAAAGAAGCAGGTCTCCAATTTAATAACTGCATAATGAGTGCTAGAGAGCTAGGATTTCACCTAGAGTGTGATAAAATGTAACTGGCTGAAAAACTATATGCAGACACTCCATTTACAGGTGTGGAACATTCTCAGATTGCTCCTTGCAGACGCATATGGTACTGAAATAGCGATGTGTGTCTGTCTCCAGGTTGAGACTAGGTACCACAAATTCTGCATCTTAGGTAAGTATAATCTGGAATGAAATTTCAAACAGGTAGTTTTGAGACATGTATGTTTCACAATCATTCAAGTTCTCAAACACTGCTAGAATGTGGCAGCATAAAGGAAAAAGGAAAATGGCACAGTGAAGTGCACTTAATAGGCACAGTTTTTCCAATGGTTTTGCAATTTAATCTTCACTGTTTACATGAGTGTTAATTCTTTCTTGCATTATTCTAGACTGGAAATTTTCAAGAAATAGAATCTGAATATATATATATATATATGTATATAAGTGTATATTGTTACAGGAAAAAGAGATATCCCTCAATTTTTCCAACAATTCCTCTCACTGTTTACCAAATCATTTGTTCTCTAAAAATGCACATAACATCATGTGCAAAAGACAAGCTTAGTGAAATACTACAGTTGTTGGGTTACATGCACGCATAAAGGAATTAAGAGTTAGTGTTCCCATAGCAACCTTATTTTTTTGTGTGCTTGCATTAACACGAGGGTTTAAAAAAAAAAAAAAAAGGACGTGAGTAAAGTCCAGTGGTACTCATGACTACATTCTAGTATGCTGATGAGCATGATTTATTGGTCACTGCTGTGTAATCATTTAATGAAATATTATTTAAGTAATACTCCAACTCTTGACTTGTTGTTCATAACATGGTAGATTGCTTTTTTTTTTTACATGTAATAGCATACAGAACAAATGCGTGTTCCTATAATAAAAACGATCAATAGTAACCAAATGAGAACAGATTTTTGCATTGCTTATCTCTAAGAACTGGACTGGAAGTTTATATCTCTTTAGCTGTTCAATCTTGACATTTCTGAAATTATCCCATATAAAATTTCAACTTTGATGTTGTATTAAAAATTCATGTTTATATTTGATTCTGTACATATACTTACTGGGAAAACAGTAAATGAGCATATTTTGCTCAGCAAGCAACTCAGGATTGAAAATAATAGTTAAATGATCCCCTAGGACAACTCATCATTATAGTCTGCAAATTTGTGTTGCATTTCTACAAAGCCACTGTGAAATAATACCTATAAAAAGATTACCTGTATAATGAGAATGAATGATACAGAAGGATAAATAGAAAAACAAAGTTATCACCAGTGTTATCACTGCATTATAAATATTACCTACGTGTGACTGTTACATATGGTACTGTTTAAAAGTCCTTCCTTGTGATGCAGCTCAGCAGATTGAATATTTCCTAATAATTAGTACATTGTTCTTCCAACTCTGAAAATACTTCTGAAGTGACAGTATTGTACATGATTATTTTTAATTACTTTGCAGGTCCATAATACTATGAGCAGTAGACTTATGATAGCATTTATACTTTACTTTGCACGTAGAGCCAACCCTCTACAAGGATCTACAACGATCTATCTGACAATTTCTAACATTAGAAAAAGCCAATCTAATAAAATAGATTAGAAGAACTAAATAAAATCGACAGAGGCTGAGAGAGAATTGTATTTTGTTTTATACTGCTCTAGTTTACACACAGGTTTGCACTCTGGTACATCACTGCCTATGCAATTGAAGTGGTTGAAATTCTTGTACCTTAGTTTTGAGGAAATGGCACTTTACTGTGCAGGAGAAACCAGCAAAACCATGTATGTTCTGGCTTGAGTTAGTGACTTGTGTGAAAAACGTAATAAAGGGAGAATTATGAGCTGCTTTATTGCTAAATTGGAAGTATTGTAACATTATGTTCAAGTCTTTTTTCCTGAGACCGACAGAAAACACTTATGACAACTTTCCTTTGTGTGCAAAAATGTGCAAGGAGCACATGAGAACAGAAGAACACATCTCCTCCCCCCCACTTCCACTTCACACCCTCATCATCTCCTACTGGCAATACTACAGGTTACAGGTAGGATAAAACAAAGCACACACATCTGGTAACATTATACGTCAACAGTTTTTAATACGTTCTGTCACATCATCAGCAGCTGCATTTGCCACTTGCAATTATATCAGAACCCAAACCAGAACACTTAAGAAACTGAACTGGATGGTTCAGTCAACACACGTAGGGGCTGCAAATAGGGTTCCATAAAAGGTTTGGATATAATTCCTTTATGTTGATTCAAATACGATTTAAAGTTATATTTAATTTTATAAATGTAAATATATTGAAATATCAAAACTTGATTGTGCCTTTCCTGTACCTGTAATATTTCAGTTTAAACTTTGGAGAACTATCCAAATCAGGCTTTTGCTCCTGTGTGAAAAGGTATTTTTACTCACATTTTGTAGCCGAGACATACTTCGTTTTTGGAATTCTACAACTTGACTGATTAATAGGATTTATTCCTATATGAATATAGAGAGAATTTGAATATAAAATACTAAGCAGGAGAAAAACCAATCCAGTGGTGCAGATACTAAACCCTTTACAGGAGCAAATAAATTTTAAATGACAAATTCAGAATCTAACCTTGATTACTTGGGACTGGTGCATGCTTAATGTTCTCGTAATTTTGTTTGTTTAAAACACTGAATTGCAGAATTGGTGTCACTTCATCCATGCTGTCAGCCAAATACTGAAAAACCACCTATAAAGTTCACAAAAGAATTCATGCTCAACAGACATCTGCCATCAGAATGAGAGCATAAGAGGTAGATGGTAAGTCGAACATATTTCTTAACACAAGTTGTCCATAAGTGCTTAAACAAAAGCCTCTTTTATGAGCTTACTCCCAATCATCTTTTATTTTTCAAATAAAAATTTGGTTTTATTACAAAGTGAAAATGTTGGGAAGGTTTTTCAAGTTTTTTAAGCCATCCGAAGGCTGATAAATATATTCAGAATACACTATACAGCTGAATTTCTGAGTTGAAGAAAGCTTACCAAGTTCTGGATTAAAAAAATTAAAGAAGTATACTCATAGCAATTTAGGATAGCATACAAAACATAACTATTCAGCCTCTGAAATCCACCTGAGCTAAACAGAAACCCACTCTGAGCTAGAGGAGCTTCCGTACCAACAGTAACATAACTGTTTCCTGAGAAATGTCTGCCCATAAGGGCACATTCCAATCTTTTCAGTGGGTAGAAAGCATTCTTATTTCTTAAGTGACACACGTTTGACATCTTTTTATCAAACAAATAGAGGTGCTAGAAAGTCAAATCAACAGTAACAATCCAGCCTTGGTAGAGGTAGATTGTCATGTACTACAATGGAGTTGTCATTTAGTACTAGTAAAAGAAAGTCATTTCTAACTCTATTGTCAGGTAACCTACTTTGGAAAATAGTGAATTCAATGCCTAACACCCACATGAGACACAGGAATAGTTGGATTAACAAGTCTAGTGTCATGCTGTCAGCTGCTGTTTATTTAAATAAAATGTCACAAGCCAGAAATAAATTAGAAAGTTTCAAAACAGCGAATTGCTGTAACATGCTGTGTTCCTCAAGATGGACAAAAGTTAAATCTTTATTATGCTGCTTTACTTTCTAAGTTTGAATATTTTCTTGAATTTTTATCTTGCAGTTTATTTGGCATATGATATATTCTTCCCTAACTCTGTGCACTTGTCTACAAAATAAATGCCTTTTAAGAAATCTGCTTGATTTCCTTTGAAAAAGGCTACACAGGTTAAACTTCACTTTTGAAGTCTAGCTAGGCATATTTCACCTCGTAGGGTGTTGTATACATTTCTCTGCTAGCACTCTAATTTCATCAAATTATGAAGGAAATAACCTGCTAAATCAGTTCTCTTTTTCTCCTCTGAGATATATGGAAAATCTCAAACTCAAGTTCTCCAACACTCTGTCCCTCTTTAGATACTTTAAACTCAGTTACAAATCACTTGACTTTCCATCAAACTCTGTTTGGCTTTCTTGATTTCTTTTTTCTTCCCAATTATCTTGGAAAAGTGAGTAAGAATTAGATAGACAGAGACATAGGCAAGGGAAAATGGTTTGATTGTTTTAAGCATTACTCCTAAATTATATTTGGGACAAGTAGCAATCCAGTTCATTCCCTGAGATTCAGACTGGATTACACTTTTAGCTATTAAAGTACATGAATTTATGAAGGAATGAGCTCCATCAAGAATACTGGAAAGATGGGAAGCTTACAGACACTCAGCATTTTTTCTGGATATTGTTTCAAGATACCAACTTCACCTTAAAAATCTATATTTCAAAAACATATATGTTCACATATAAGGAGACGTACCAGGGAATACGGTATAGATATAGATAAGGTAATATAGGTAAGATAAGGTATATATAGGTAAGATATAGATATATCTTAAAGGAATGTTAACAGTTACCATGAACAAATAGGCACATATTTTTGGATTAAAGATAAAATGACAGGGAGAAACTGCACCCCATTCTAACACTCTAAATTATACAGCATAAAAAACATGGAGATATTTACTTGTCCAGGCTTCCCATTCTCACATAAAAAGGCTTCATGCTCTGATGCAAATTCAGGAGCGTTGTCATTTACATCAAGAACTTTGATAGTAACAGGCACCCGGGACACTTGACTGTGGTTCCCTAAGAAAAGAAATCATAGCATAAAAGGTAAGTATATTTTATTTGGGTTTTATATATAAATTCTTAACTAGAAACCATATTCTTTCCTTCCTTCCTTAATTGAGTTGTCTTATCTGTAATGCTGCGACTGATCTGTAATGAGGTGACTTGTAGTTGGAGCATGAGATAAAGAAGGATGGACAGTATCTTGTGGCTGAAAAGAATAAATACATCCCTACTGCAAACAGTATTTGTTGGAGATTATCTCCATGAAGACCTTTCTTGGACTAAATTGGTAAGATTTTTCTTTGATGAAGTTTGTATTGTTTTATTGATAAAGTCCATTATACATGGAAAAAGGAAAGGCTGTAAACAACATAGATTTATTTCTTTGTTTATCTTTCACAGAGCACAGAAAGCTTTACTCTATTAGTTGTTCAGACTGCACATCTATTATTTCTCCATTATAAATACTATTAATGTGAAAACACACAGTGAAAAAGAAACTGCAGATTGACATAGGTAAAACTAGATTGTACTTTGGATAAGTTCTGATTCACCTACAGCTATCCAAGAAAATGATCTGTGAACTTCTTTCTTTGCTGAAGTAAAGTCTCATAATTTGTAGTGTAAAGCTATTTTGCGTAAAGAATTTTTTTTCATTGCAGAGTAGAATGATCTTATTAAGCTGTAAGGAAAGAAAAGCTAAAGCAACAGTTCACATTCCACTTTGAATAAATGTCACAGTCAAATCCTACTGTCTTTCCTCCAGTTCAGCATAATCATTCTAAGGGATTGTTAATAAATATTTTAAATTTTATGATTTTTCTTCAAAAAGCAAATACATGAATTCCTTATAAACTCAGGTGATCAGCTGATCTGAGGACTCAAGAAATGTTCTATAGGACATGCATACATTTACAAGTAATCCAATCCTAGTTTCAAAATCCATCTCTTACTGAATATTATTTTACAAACACAATATCTTGGTTGCGTCATCAAGAATTCTAATAATTGCATACTGCAAATTAAACTGTAGGTTGGACTTTTTATTTAACTATATGCTTTTGCCTGAATTGTTACCGCAGGCAAGAAAGCTCCTGCATCAAGTCAGGATGTTAATCCATGCACAGTTGTGATAACTTAGCAGTCCATTTGGGTTCTAGTCTCTGGCAGTGCAGAAATAGCTTAGGAGAAGACAGCGTTAATTCTGGGGGCAAGACAAAAACTATTGATTTATACTCAATAGAACTGTAAAAAGAAGTGTCAAAAAATAGAACTAGTTAGGCTATGCCAGTGGGCTGGAGGCTAGCAATGTGACTTGTAGCAGCTCTACAATTTGTAGAGGTGAGTAAAGGAAGAAACCACAGTGTGTATTTTTTGTGATTTTGATTCAAGTTAACTGTACTGTAACCTAAGCATATCCTATGTCTTGCATTCTTTTTTTCCTTGTATGTTAAAACAAGACATTATTTTGAGGTTTCACTGATAAATCTAAATTTGTGTAAATTTCAATATCTCTAATAACATTAATTTTAAATAATATAAAATTCTCTATTTCAAAAAATAAAATCACATTACCACTAAATGTACTTGTGCTACAAATAAGGCCTATATATTTTCTAGATAGATGGAAATACACAAATTCTATCCATGTAGGATATGGAAGATTACAAGGCATCAAATTTTAAATGCTTTCTAGTCATAGGACTCACAAGTTTTAATTTGGAAAGAGATTTGTCACAGAAGAAAAAGAAATCCCTATCAAAATACTGTAATAGTAATATTTATGTCAGTTTCACATGATATGATTTTCTTTATTAACAGGTGAAGTGAGCATACATGTCATCAAATAAACACTAATATGAAAATCAAGAAACTGAAAATATAAAACACTTTTTAAAATCTTGATAAAAATACAGACTATAAAATCTCTAGCTTATCAGAATTCTAAGCACTAGTGTCATATTTGAACACTAAAGATTTGCTTTTATCTGAATTAAAGAAATGATGGCAGTTCAAATTTTAAAGACATTACAGAGAAATGTAATTAATTAGATAAGCTTCTAAAGAAATTATTCATGTCTCTTATGACTGCCCCCAAAATGTTTGTCTTTCATCAGAAATACAAACACTAAATTTAAAGATATTATAATTAGAAACTTGATGAGAATTCATTAAAAAAATTAATTTACTAAACACAAGTGAGACCCAACTGGTTTGGAAATGTCTGAACAAGGGGATATCCACTACCTACTAGGGTTCTGGTGACTATGATGAAGTTTATTGTGAGAAAGAGAGGGAAATCTTATCTACTGCTTGTACTGCCCACCACACTGAATACATAACATTATTTTGTCATTGTAACGTTTTCAATAATTATTCACTTCATGCTAAATGAAAAATAATTAATAATTAAATAAGGATCACAGTAAATAAAAAACACCCCATGTATACGTATTATGGCAAGTAAGTACCAAGCACTGACAAGACAAAATGGTTTCACCTGCCTGTTTTCAAACTTAAAATGACCGCAAAGTTCAAAGCAGTAAAACACTTTGAGAGCTCACTAAGAATTTCAACCAATTCCACTGAAGCAAACTTGATTAGTTTCACAAAAACAAGGTCAAATATCCCTCTAGTTTTATGGTTTTGCTGCTCTCTTTTCTTTATGTTTTAATAAAAAATATACAGAAATAAAATACGTATCCACTATACTGCAGCTGAAGACAATTCCCCTTCACTCATTTGTGGCCCAGGCAAGCAAAAAGGTTGGAAACCTGTTATGTGAAGCATATCCCTACATACTCCCAGCAGTGAATGAAGAGAATGCTAGATCCTTGCCATCGTATACAGCTTGTCTTCACAATGATCAGTATTTAATGCTCAGAAATGTTCCCTATTTGTGAATAGTCAGTTATACTCTAAAATAATGACAAAATTAAATTTCAAATATTTTTTAAAATTTAATATCTTGTTTGTTTGCTTGTTTTTCCATTGAGCCACAAAGTCATCAGAATTAGAATTAGACTAAATCATTCATTTTTCAGGTAGATTGTAAGACTGGTTACCGAAGTTGCAAAGAGTAGAAAGATAGAGTCATTATCTGTTAACAAACTAACTGAATTTGTAAAGATTTCATCAGCTGTATTTATGGTGATGCACAACCTACCTTTGGTCTTGCAAAACAAGTGCATCACTGGGACTGTCACCTGAGAAGCAAAAGCTTGGTTTGAAAGTTTAGAACATTGTGATGAAATATCTAAAAATATTAAGCATATCTCTACTTGATAGTCACTGGTCTTAAAAAGCAGTGCTCACTAAGAAACAGAATTATTGTCTGCCAAAATAATGTAAGTTCATCATTTATTTAACAAAAAGAAATCCAGTTTGATCCACTTTTCCCTCATTTAATTAAAGCACCCAAAATCACATCAAGGTTCTCTTTAAAAAGTCATAAACTGTCTTGCATTTTAAGTAAAATTAAGTACCTGTATAGAAGTAGACTCTTGCAGAATAATACGTATTTTATTGGTTTTATCATCATCATATGGTCTTGGAAATGGTTATTTCATGCTTCTCTGATTCAGTGAAATTTCTACTCTAATAATATTTTAAATTAGAAGTCCTAGTTCTAACAGAGAAATCAAAACAAAATCTGAATCACTGACTTAATAAAAACAACATCACTTGCTTTATATCTCTCATACTTCAAACTTATTAAGTTGTATTTTAACTGTTCTATTCCCCAAGCCTTTATCAAAGTTTTATCCAACGACATTAGTAAGGCAGTCTAAATGCAGGACAAACTTATCTTCCCTTTATGTTTTTAAGTTGTTGCTTTCTTTGTGCAATCCTTTATCTCTGTAATACTGCTTCTACAATTCTTTTGCCATATGAAACTGGCAAGTCTAACTTCAAGTATCCTGAGAAGCAGAGATGATACTGTAAAACAGAAATTTTATTTGTGTTGATGTTTAACTGTAGAAATCACATACTGCAGTAAAAGCTGTGCTCATTTGTCTGAAGTGTTGCATAATGATCTGATTCAAAAGAGATTGACTGCCTGAAACAGACTCTGAAATTGTCAGGAAAAAAACAGTAATTGGCATTACTTCTTTTAAAAAGAACGGACCATAAGCTATTTCTCAATTAGGATAAAATGTAACCATCAAACCATAAAACAGACAAACAAATGGGTCTCCATGAAGATTTCAAACCTCACAAAACATTCTTAAATTTTTAAAGAACAAGAAAATACTGAGAGTTGTTGAATATCCGTATGTGCATAGAACACATCAATGCATAGTAGAATGGCTTCTCTGTATGAAGCTGAGACACGAAACAAGCTCTTCTTCAAAATTAATCTTCAATTTATATTTATTTCAGCTCACTGGGACAGATTGTGGTGAATCTCTGCATGTACAAGAGTGTAGGAGGCAGGGAGGAAGAAAAAGATGTGAAACATATTTATCAGATTTGTTCCATAAGTCATTCTTTGGAAGAAAAATAACAGTGGCTTTCAAAAGTTTTGCCATCTTTCAGTTGATCCCTCAGTTTATTTCTTATGGTCTCCAGAAGAAACAAAGAATAAATTAAGAACAAAGCTACATTAAATTCTGCTTCTATTTCAGCACTGATGAACTGTTGCAAGTTTCACCAAGGACTTGCTCAACACCTCTATCTCTTTCGTTTTTGTTCACTTTTCTACCTCTATGCCATGAAAAATAATCAGAAAATGCATGTTCTCACAACAACGATGGTCACCCAGCTAACATGTGAGAAGTGTATTTTGACTGCATATCCTGGACAGGACAAGGAGAAGGGGAAACTGAGGACAGAGCATATTTTCAAGTAAATGACTTCAAAACTAAATATATACTTAAAAGGTTTCCAGATCTCAGTAGCTCCATCTGTAAAGACTGACTAAGATAGGCCACCTACCTGCTTTAATCAATACGTAGATGTATGATTTGGGATAAAAGGCCGTATTACTCTTTAGGCTTGCTGCTAACACAAAA